CAATAATTTAATAAATTTCTTAAAATAATAATAATTTTAAATTGTGTATTTTAAATTTATAAAATTTATTAATAATATAAGATAATATAAAATAATATAAAATTTATTATAAAAATAATTTATTATTAAAAAATGTAATAAATTATTAAATATAAATTAATAAATAAATATATTAAAAAATAAGTAATTTCACTAAAAATAAAAAATAATAAAAATAAATATAATCAAATGATACTTAATAACCAATAAATAAAAATATTTAAAATATTTTAAATGTTGCAATTAATTTATTTAAAAAATTTTAATTAAAAATTTAAAAATTATATTACATTTCAATTTAATTAAAAATATATATTTAACGTTAATAATAATAATTGATAATTAGAAAAATCATTAATATTTAAATAATAATACTTATAAAATCTAATCCAATTGTACGTATTCAATAAACAAGATAAAATAAATGTGAATATTAAGTGATTATAAATGTATTAGAAAATGTATTCGTATAAATATTATCAGTAGTAATTTACTTTTCTTAAAATACCTCATAATCCGTAAATAGACGTAAATAGTAAGAACAGCCTCTTTATTAACTGACCATGTAAACCGGCGCTATCTCGCGAAGCAAACGTGCGTGTAAAATCATCAAAGGAACGATAAACTTGGCCGTTTCTATGTCAACTATGCTTGTCGTTATATCGTCGACATATTCGCGATTAGATATTTGAAACTAGCATGGCGGAACTCTTCGATCTCACCTTCTTAGTAAAACCAGCTTCTTCAACCACGTGTTTAACTTTTTTTCATTCATTTCTTTTCCTGATTTCGCATTATATTTTTTTTTTAATAATTATTAACAATAATCGCGATATATTTATTTATCATTTATATGAAATTATTTATATTGAAATATAAATAATTTTATATAAATGATAAAATTGATAATTTCAATTTGATTTGTCAAAAGTTCAAAGTTATCAAAAGGGTTGTTCAAAGATTATGTTTATGATAATGATTTTTTCTCTTTTATAATTTATATTTGATAAATTTAATGTATAATAATATAATATTAATAAATGTATAATTTAGATTGAAACAAAATTAGAAATAAAGTTGATATTTATCATATAACATACTCGAGACAGTTTGATTAACGTTGTTTAAAAGAAATTAACCAATAGGAAGTAAGTAAGAGTCCAAGTAGTATTTCCCTAGTAAAATTCATCCAAACCGCCTAGTAATTTCTTCCGATGAGTGCACGCGATCGTTCGATATATTGTAATAGCAATGTCCGCACTAACTTAATTACTAGCGTTGGTTTGCAAGCACCAACAGCTATAAGGATGGGTGCTACACATTTTCGTTTGGGTTCTTGCACGCAATGTAAATCTCTAAGGAATGCTTCTCGTATCTTCGTCGATGTGAACCGACTTTAACTCTAATTAACGAATAACGATATGCAATCAAGCACGAACATGTAGAAATTAAAAAAAAAACATATATATATATATATTTTTTTTTTTCTAAATGTATAATATAGTATATATACAATTGTATTATATTTAATAAAATAAATGTATTTAATTTATACATATCAAGGATAATATTAATTTATTATATATATATATATTTATTTCAAAAAATATAATATAATATAAAATATTAAAATAGATTTTAATTATATAAAAGTATATTATATATATATAATTATAAATAAATTTATTTAATTTATATATCAGGGATAATATCAATTATATAAAATATATTTTTAATTAAAAAAATATTATATATATATATATTATAAATTTTTAAATATATATTTTCCATTAAATATATTATTATTTCCAAAAATATAATATAAAATATTAAAATAGAAATTTAAATTATATAAAAGTTTATTATATTTAATTACAAATAAATGTATTAAATAAATATATCAAAAATAAGATCAATTAATAATATATTAATATATATTTTTAATTGATATTTTTAACAATATATATATTAATTATTTATTTTAGTGCTTTATATTTTATGGTACTTGGCATATTATAAATAAAATAAAGAAAAATAAGTATAAAATATTACATAGATTTGAATAAACAACGTATTACGAATCAAACTATTATTATTTTTTTTTTTTTTTATTATTTTATTAAACAACGAACTACCAACGTATATATAACACTTGTCCTCTTAACTTACGAGATCGTTAGTATAAATAAACCACGGATTTAGTAAGAACAACTTATTATCGCAATAAAATAAGTATAGTCAAATAAAACTGCCAAAACATTATTCGAACGGGATCAAAAATATACAAACGATTTATATTAGGAAATTTATGTTATACGAAACGTACGTGAGTTACTTTAAAACCGTGAAAAAAGTTTCAAGAGATAAATTTAAAAAAAAAAATAAAGACAAAGTCCCCTTTTTCCCCCGTTCCCACCCTTAAAAAATAGAAAGAAGAAAATTATTTGATGGAAAAAGCAAAAGCAAAAGCAAAAGCAAAAGTAAAAACAAAAAAAAAATATAGAAGAAGAAAAAACATATTGGTCAAAGAGCAAATTATCGTACCATCGTCCCCCCCCCCCACCTTCCCCTCTGCCACTCCCTCCCTCCCTCTCTCCACCCCTACTTAAAATCGTGCTCGAGAAAAGACACAAGGGGGAGTGAAAAAAGAAATGTCCGTTCGTTTGACTCTAAAACTTTCTCGCCCACGCTGTACAGTTTATTTCAAGAAATTATTATTAGACTTGTATATTAAGAAGAGACAGAAAAAGAGAAAGAGAGAGAGAGAGAAAGAGAAAGAAAAAGAGAAATGTAAAAAAGAGAAACTGATAATGTGAGAAAAAGAGAGAAAATAAAAGAGAAAAGTGAAATAATAATGTTCTCTCTTTTTATCTCTTTTATTTTATCATTTTAATTATTAAAAGAAATATAATTAATTGTTCACAAATAATATAAATATTTATAATATTAATTTATTTTTAATTATATATATATTATATTTTAATTATATAATTATTAATTTATAATTAATATAATATAAATTATATAATATTAAATAAATAATAATAAAATTATAATATATTACTAATTTTGTAAATATTTATTATATTTACTATTAATTATATAATTTTACATGTATATATTATTATATTATTATTATTATATTTTTATATTTATATAATTATTATAATTAATATATTTATTCATTATTTATATATATAATCTTTATCACTTATATACTTCATTATTATTATCTCATATTCTTGTTAGTCCCACCCTATCTCTCTTTCTCTCTCTCTCTCTCTCTCTTTTTCTTTTTCTTCATTTCACTTTTTTTTTCTCCACTTTCTGTTTCTCCCTTTCTGACTACATCGTACATTTCTGTCTTTCACAATCTACATTTCTTTTTTTTTATTCTGTCTCTACTTTATACTTTGTCTCTCCTAATTTTCTTCTTCTTTTCTTTCTTTCTTTCTTATTATTTTTTTTTTTTTTTTTTTTTTTTTT